GCAACTTCTACAGCTGCATCATTGAGAGCATCTTGACCAGCTGCATCACTGTCTGGTATGGCAGTACTACTGCTATGGACCGCAAGTGCCTGCAGAGTGTGGTAAAGACTGCAGAGAAGATCACTAGGACTCCACTGCCCTCTCTGCAGAGCATTTACCACCGCAGGGTGTGTAGGAAAGCTGCCTTCATCCTCAAAGATCCCACCCACCCCCAGCATGGACTGTTCTCCTCCCTACCCTCTGGCCGGAGGTTCAGAAGTGTGAAATGCAGGACCTCCAGACTGAAAAACATTCTTTCCCTCTGCCATCAGACTCCTAAACAGCTGACAGGAGTTTATTACCAGGAACTATGTCATGTTGACTTGTACTGTTTACATTCTCAGTTTGCACATGCATAATTGCACATTGACTGTTGACTGCTGCACATGCTGCTCCCATGCAGCATACATTCTCTGTTATATTCTTATATATTTTTCTTATATCTCTGCATTTGCTGCTTAAAGTGCCTTAGATTTATTTATTCATCTACTTTATATTTCATTTGTATTTTGTGGCATTCATGTGGATGGCAAAGTAAGAATTTGATTCTACAAGGAAACATGTTTCCTAACTGTGCATATGACAAATAAACGTTTTGACCTTTGACCTTCATGATTTCTGCCTTATTCCTTGGTACAACCAATCATTTGCAAAATGATTACTAAAAGAAACATGTGATTACCTTTCTGTCAAGGCTATCTTTGTCATCAAATCCAACCCACTGATTTTCTGTGGTGGCATATGGAACACTCTGGTCCGTAATCAGCTGGACTGTAACCCCTTCAAGATATAGGCAAGTCTGAAAAGGAGTCACATTTCATGTCAAATTTAGATTTAATGTAGTAATGCAAATGGAAATTTGTCACACAGTTTACAGCAACAGTTTTTTTTCAGTAATTAGGCAATTCTTATAAATGAATTATTTTCATATCTTGCACCTTTACCTCATAATATGCCCAGAAGCCATCTTTTTCAGTGTAGCAGCCGTCTTCACCAGGACCACTAACTGGTGCTCCAACATCAGTGGATGCAGAGGAGAGGGTAAAAGCTCGCCCATACGCTGCTAGTCCCAAGTTTAGTTTTTGTGTAGGTGCTCCCTGGTCCCGCCAGTACCGCATGGCATAGTCCTAAAAAGTGGAGACAAAAAATCTGTTAGGGTGAGAGGATATCCCTAAATTCAAAGGTGTTTGGGCAGTTAATATGAATCATGGTACTTGCAGTGTTAGAGTAGATTTTGTCTCCTTTGTCTTTGGATCCCTGGTATAAGGGACTGTGATGTCCTGTGACATTCTCCCAGCATCCGTGAAAGTCAAATGTCAGAACATTAATGAAATCCAGGTTCCTGATAAAAGAAGAGAGAGAGCATGTTATATAACACATGGTGATAGCTAGTCATGGGTGTAATGTCAAGAATTATATTAAATCCGTTTTACATGGCAATCTGTGCAACTTCATAACTGGCATCGATGACCGCTTTCTCAGCAGAAACACTGGCAGTGACCATTAATCTGTCACGATGAGTTTTTGTCCCTTCAGCCACAAAGGCGTCTTTGAGCTCCTATTCAACACAGAAACATAGTTCAGTCCCAGTCAAGTGTTAAATCATATATTGTCATAAATGGCACATTTCCGAGAGTCCAAACACTAAAATTTAGGACCTGACCTTGCACAACAGTGTAAATTTCTGCTTGTCTTCTGGTCGGCTTCGTGCTCTTCTAGGGTATCTCCAGTCCAGGTTCAGCCCATCAAACCCATAGTTCCTCAGTAGTGTGATTACAGACTGGATGAACGTTGTTCTGTTTCGCTGTGTTGACACCATCATACTGAATCTGATAAACATTTGAACAAGACACTGCTTTGAAGATCCACATAAACATAATACGGACTTACTGAAGTTTTTAGTAGGTTCCAGTAAAATTTGTATTAGTATTAAATCGAATTGCATGATGAACAATGGTTGGATTCATTTTGCAGTAGATTTGTTGAAAACACAGTAGTTTGAAACAAAAAAAATATTTGGTCCACTTAACTTTTAACTGTTCACATTTACTATGTTAAAATGAATTTATTAAATAACTACAAAATATTTTCAATAATGAATTTAAATCAATAAACAAGACTGAGGTTTACACAACAAATTAGTTTTAATTAAGATAACATAGATTTTCATGTATTTCATTTTAAAATGATAATTCACAAATAAGTTGCAGTGCCTCTTATTTGACCATCTGTCTCCCAGAGTGATAGTCGATTCATCCGTCTCGGGTCTTTTGTACCATCACCAATATAAAACCAGACCCACTGCTAGGTACACACAAGTCACACACTGCACGTAGGGCACCAAAAAACTATCATGGTAATTATGAAAAAATAATAATACATCTAATTTGAAAATATACACAGAATAACCAGGCACTGCTGATCCTATACACAGTGTAAAGCATAGCTTCCTGAATCAATAAAACTAAATACGGTGCTCCCCTTCCCATTTCCTTGTGCTCTGAAACACATCACGCAGCAGGTCAGTAGATGGTGAAGTTCAGTGAAGATTCCTGTATTTAGGAAAGAAGTGGCCTTGAAAAGATAAGAGTCCAGTGCTTCACAATATTAAGATCCCACACAATCAGAGGTTAAATTGGGCTGCAGCCACCAGAGCTCCATCTCCCTCAGCCTCACAGCAGTGCTAACATTAATCGTCTTGAAATACACATCTCCGTATTCAGACCGGTGCACACTTTATGCACATGGCATAGGTGCAGTAACTTCATGAATTATTTGAGTCTTATAGTATCTTTGTCTTTGCACTGGTACAAAAAAGGCTTAAAAGTTCATTTATATAACTTACTTTTCTGTTTTGAAGGTCAATCCTCCAACAGCCAACAGGGTTTTAAGTTGTGGATTTCTGTGAGTGCATAAAGGTTTAGTTTAAAAGACACAAAATTCAGCATCTTATGTTAAATATTTATTAGCTAAAGGTCTGACCTGGTTTTGAGACCATTAAAGGACTGATAGTGTTGTAAGTCAGTTGCATTGCTGGGAACCAGCTCATTCACATCGTTGATGTCAGCAAAAGCATAGATCAGATGGGTGCACTGGTTTGGATCAACATCTGAAATTGTGAACTTCCCGTCCCCCTTTCTGTTTTCAGCCAAGCTGTTATAGTAACACACCAGCCTGAAGGATGAGGCTGAGGCATTCAGAAGTGTTTTTAGTGGGTTTAATTAATATTTTAATGCATCAATTGCATCAAATTCTTTGTTTACCAACAGCTGTTGACTATTCATCTTCTAGTTAGACTTGTTTGCAAATTTACCTATGCTGGCGATGGTCAAACACAGACCTTCAAAGTGAGAAACTTGGTCATTATTAGGTTGAAAATAAATCTTAACATCCAAGTTCATCCAAACAAACATAAATAAACAGGAAAAAAAACATGTTGGCATAGAATGGCATTCCATTTTACATGTTAAAAGTTATGGACAAACAGTATAGTCAATGAAGACCTCACTGTGCCTATTGTCTATAAACTAATTTATTAACTGTGGTACTGGAAGCAGCACCAACATCCATCTGTCCATCCATTATCTATACCACTTCTCCTGAAGAGGATCATAGGGGGCTGGAGCCAATCCCAGCTGACCTTGGGCAAGAGGCGGGGTCCACCCTGGACAGGTCACAGGGCTGACAACCACACACACTCACTCCTGTGGGCAATTTAGAGTCTTTGGACTGTGGGAGGAAGCCGGAGTACCCGGAGAGAACCCATGCAAGCACAGGGAGAACATGCAAACTCAACACAAAAAGACCCCGGGCCGGCCGGGGCTCAAACCCAGAAACTTGCTGTGAGGCGACAGGCAACTGTTTCACCAACACATAATCCCACTCATCTTTTTTAGAGTTGGCAACTGAAATCTCAGAGGCCAAAACCTGGGTACATAAATCTAAAACAATGTATATCACTATCACATTTTTGAGGTTTGGGTGAACCAACCCTTTATATACTGGAAGTTAGATCAATGTGCCTTACCTATAGTCAGAAGTAGCTTGACCATGTTGTTACTATGCTGACAAACAAACAAAAAAATTTTTAATTCACAGTATAAACAGGATTTTCACACTCTGAATACTCAAAAGGCAATTTTAATTCAAGTTTAATCAATGAAATGCCTGTGCTGTAAAATAACACTGTTTAAGCCTGATAACGATCACAACATGTTCATAATAGGGAGGCTATTGAAAGATATCACCCAGTTCTTTCAACCAGGAACTCTGAGAGACGACGCAGACTACTTGGATATATAAAAAATATAACCATGCTGGTTTATTCAAAGGATCACAGGCAAAATTAACATCACACGTCCAGGCATCTTCCACCTCCAGTACTGCGCGCAGGCAGCCCGGAAGATGAAAGACCCCGAACCTAATAGCCTATACAATTTAATCACTTGGTTGGGCTAGCCCCATCCTACACAGGCCACGTCAAACCGTGACGTCACCTGATATGCCAGCTTGGCAGCTGACCAGAGCAGTAGTCAAAACATGAAGAATATTAAAGTGTGTGGCTGTTGATTAGTGGTGTGTATCTAAAAACATACAGGACATTCAGGGACATGTCCGAACAGTAAGCCTCGGAAGATATTATGATTAAGATTACGGCTGAACATATCATGCTACTAGTAATATTCATCTGCCGACTCTTCAATCTAGTGACCTTGGCCTAGATGCAGCCTGCAGAACTCATGACAATGCACTGAGCATTTAACAGCCTGAGCAAGACATCCTGGCCACACTAACATTTCTAATACAACAGATCTCTAATCACTATCTATCTAACTAAGAAATTACCTAACACTATGATACACAATAACCATAACATTAAATAAAATGATGAAGCAACTGAATAATCTGTGAAAATGTGTGTAAATAAAATCTGAGTAAAAATAGTACTTACAAGGATAAAGGTGAAAGAAGTGTATACGGTCTCTATTGCGACCGATGATGACTGACAGATGTCCGGCTGTTAAATAGGATGTGCAGCTCACAGGGTGTGGCCGTAAAATAAGGTGAGGACACAATGTTGCAAAGGCCAACTCATTTAGACAGTGATAGAATACAAAAAACTAAGACACTGATTTCATTTGTCTAAAATTGTCGGTTCAATGTGTTGTTAAAAGGTTTTTAACTTTATGTCTATGGAATATTTGCTACTAAAATATAAAATAGAAAATTGAAAAGATGTGTTTTTTTTGTTTTTGTTAGTTTTTTTCATGCTTTGGAATATAAGCATCCAGTTCAGCTTTCCTTTAGAGCCCTATAGATACTAAGCTGATTACACCTCTTAGTACTAAGGAATGACTAGTGGTAGAAATTCTTTAACCAAATTGCAGTGTCATGGGAATTTTTCTTTTATATTTGAGATTTGCTACTATAGGTCTCAGAGGAATTGAAGAAAGAAACTCAGTGCGATGAACCATTTCAGTTTAATTGCATGCCGACATGGAGGACAAACACAACAGCACTGTCACTGTGTCTGTTCAACTCTTGTTTAAAACATTGTAATTATACTGAAACATAACAACAGACCCACATCAAAGAGAAAGACACATGCATATGTCCTTGCATAAGTGTCAGCAACAAGACCATCTGTTCAGGCACATTGCAGTTTTCCTGTAAACCCCCACAGTACTAAACTCCCTATCAAAACTTTTTCTTAAGCATTCTTCAAAGCAAGCCATTCATGTGACCCTAAGTGTTTTCCTGCAAGTGTCGTACAAGTATACTCCATGTGCTTCACCTACCCACCAGACAGGGTTTAAAGTGGGCCAGTCTTGTGCCAAAAAAATCACTGTCTGAAGGTGTCCACAGGAGTGCACAGCCTGGTAAACATGCAGTTTTACCAACCACTTTATACATACAGCTTCCTTGTTGGGAAAGTACAAAAACAGACACCTGTATTTGTTTTAAACATTATCAACCATCCAGTACCTTTGTATCAGTTTAGGTACTTCTAAAGGGCCAATATAACCAGTAAATAGCAGTTTTCCTCTTGCCAAAAAGTGTTTACAGCTGTCTTGATAATGCTTTGTTTGTTTGCTTTACAAACAAATCCAGTTTACTGCAAGTCTAAAGTCTTCAACACTGCCCAGATGAAATCACTTTTTTCTCATTCTATTTGATATATTTCTCTAATCGTCCTTGATATTTGCAAACCATTAAGAGTGTTTCTCAAAACAGTTCTTACAAACACAGCACAATGCAATTACCTGCAAAAGTGCGTCACTTGCTCATAAACCTTACCTTATCTCTCAAAAGTACATACTTATGTCAGTGAATATGTCAAAGCCATCAGAATGAGAAGTCCTTGTGTCACTGGTCAAAGTCAAAAAGGTCCAAAGTAAAGGTCAAAAGTAACTATTATGCTCAAGGGGCAAATTGTTCAGCAACCTGCAGTACGCAAGCAGAAAGAAACATTTAACACACATTAGAGGTTATTATGAATCATTTAGGTAGGCTAATAGCCACTGCAGCCAAACAGGGTTTGAATTTGTTTGATCAGCATTCCCCACATTTTCTCACACAACACTGGTTTTGTGCTGATTGGTCTGGGTGTGGTGTTACACCTGACATCACTTTGGAGACATCTATATGTCAGGTCAGAGTACAAGCTGTAAATACCTGGGGGTTGTTTCAGAAAGGTGATTCAACAAACTGAACTTAACCCTGAACTGTGAGCTGACTAACCGTAAGTTCAGTTCCAGAACAGCTGATCAGTATTAGTTCAATTAACTCTATGTTCAGTCTAAGTTAAATTGTGTGTAAGAAATGACTATAAAAAGCCATCATCAGTGGAGCTCTGGTCCTATTATTCATTCATGGCAATGAGTAAATAAAGACCACAACTCCCAAACACTGGATGACATTAATGCACATTATTTTAAAACACACACACACACATACACACACACACACACACACACACAGCAGTAGGTAAATAACCTGAATTGGGGTGAAGAAAACATCAATAAGTTAACATCATTGTTTTATTCAGTGTAGTCCATTCATTCATTTGTTTAGCAGACTTGGATTTCTTTAATGGATCCGAATCCTATTGTTTGTTGGATGAGGACAAAATGTTGATGGTAGCAGAAGATGAAATAAAACAGATAAGACATAACCTACATTTATTTAGATCTCTCTCTCTGTCAGATCTAACCTCACAGTGTGACCCAGCAATCATGATTTTGGTTATGTGTGTCTGGTGTTGAGGTTAAAATGAGTCAGAGGACCCCTCTGTTAAACTCCTAAAGTCATCCGAAACGGTGATGAGTCGGCTTATAGACGGGAGGCTGAACAGCCGGTCCTGTGGTGTGATAGCATCAACCTGGAGCTGAACACGCTCAAAACAAACAACCAGACATAAGAACAGTTTGCTCCTGCGGGCCATCACAGTGATGAACACTTAACCCATGACTGTATAACAGAATGGCAACGCTCAGTGCAACACCTTGTAAATATACTTTTGTCTATATTCTGTATATATATCTGGAAAACTGCATCGAAACTGTGTGTTTCTACATTTATAGGTACTTAATTTTTATTTTCCTAGTGCACATTCCTTTTTCTTGTTTGCACATTTTTTTCTTTTTTTATTCTCTCAGTCTTATCTTGTTTACTTGTCTATTCATTGCCTTACGGAAGAGCATTGTACAGACAGAGTGAGAACCACTGTACCAGAGTCAAATTCCTCCTGAGTTCTGATTTGAACTATATACAAACATACATTTAATCAGAGTAACTGAAAGTCTGCTAAAACAATTCAAGGCCATATGTGGCCTGTATTCAAAAAATGACTTTTAAACTGCATTCAGTCCAGTTGGTGTTAGGGATCTTCAGGTCTTGTAAGCTGCACTACAATCATTCTCATTCAGAAATAGTCACATAATCTCCAAAATGGCCTAAATATGAGAGAAATGTTCCATCAATATGATCAATAACAACACAAGAAATGATTATTTTTAGATCTGTGCCTTTAGGCCTACAATGACTCATGTCATTTCATGAGAAAATAAACACTTTTCCCCCATTTAAGCCCAGATAAACAAACACTTGCCAGCACATACTTACAAACTGCACCTGACCCTGTTTTCATAATATTATAAAATGTATAGCCCCCTATCCCATTAAAGAAAATACAGTATGTGTCTTCCAAGCTGCTGAACGTGGATATGTTTGGTCCTTCCATTGTTTACACAGCATTTTCCCAGCAGATGGCACCAGTGTGGAATGATTCAAATGTTTCAAATCACTGAATTATTCTCCAGAGAAATTGGATCAAAGCTTTGGAATTTCTGGCAAGTTGACACAGCAAAACGAAAGAAATACATCAAATGGTGTTTCAAAA